GGCCACGAGCGCACCACGGAGCCCAGCTGGCCTCGCGGCCGCCGCCCCCACCATGCTGAGTGGCGTCTGGAAGGAGAGGGCGGCGGGCGCAGGGGGAGCGTCAGCAGAAGCCAGCGGGCGCGGGCCGCGCTTACATTGGGAGAAGGCTCCGGCCTCCCGCGCGGGTCGTCCTCCCTGCCGTGGCCGCCCGGCTGCGTCGCGTGGGACGATCGGCCTTCGATGAAGGTGATGTAGTCCTTGTAAGAGCACAGGGGGCCGGCCAGGATGCCCATGAAGTTGCAGGTGTAGCTGAGGTGCTCCAGCAGGCTGGGCATGCGTCTGCAAGGCAAGCACCCGCTCGAGAGACGCCGCCGCCCGCCGCCGCGGGGCTTTGGGCTCGTCTGCACGGGCGATCAGCAGCCTTTGGACAGTTTCTGTTCCGGTCTCCACGAGCAACGGCGAAGGGTTCTGGCCTACCCACAGCGTGAAGCCAGCCAAGGGGCGTGAGAGCAGAGAAGCGCGGTCCCCTCCCGACATGGCGCTCCGTGCTTGGCAGGGTGGCGCAGGGGATACACAGGTAACAGGTCTGCGCTCACAGAGCCCCGAGTCAACACCCAGGGAGTTAAGGGCTGCGAGAGGAGGGCTCGGTGCCCAGTCGGCAAGGCCCGTCGGCAAGGCATGGGGCGGGCCCCAGGCAGCGCGAACAGCACTGCAGAGCCTGAGGGCGCATCGGCGGCAGCGGGGAGGCTGGAGTGGACTCAACCGGGGCAGAGGCGGGAGAGGTCAGAGCCGAAGGAGCCCACCCCGGCCGGCAGCAGGCAGGACACAGGGCTGCCTCCGGAGCGTGGCCGGCAAGCACACTGGGGTCCCCAAGGGCCCGCGCCCCACAGGGCCCTGCGGCCGCGTGTAGCGGGACAGGGGAGCTGCGGACAGATGTGCACAGACAGGGAAAGCAAAGTCCTTGGTAAAGGAAAGCAGCTGGACTGGGCACGGACGTCAAGATCTGCCTTGGACTGGGCACTGGACAGTCAGCACCTGGCGGCAAAAAGATCGGCTGCGACTGCGTGGCGGGCTGGCGGGTAAGGGGCCAAAACGTAAGGGGCCAGGAGGCAGTGTGGAGTCTGCCCAGGGCCCAGGGCACTGGGTGGTGGGTGGGCTTGGCGAATGGGGTACACCTGCTGGCAGTACCAGCACCCTGAATTTTAAATCTGGGGTCCCGGGTTCTAAACCAGCCCAGTCAGCGAGGCGGAGAGCTCTGTCCCACAGCACACTGGTGTCCCGCAGCCAGCCCGTGACAGG